GAGTACTCATGTCAAGCAGACTAACTCCACTTCTCACTTGGCAGTAGTTACTGCAAGTCCTGGCAAACCATCACATTTTTTTGTGAAGCCTCTGTCTATTGGGGAGAAGAAAATAAAATTTGCAGAGGTAAGCTGTAAATATGTAAGAACTGTCTACCTTACACAATTATGTTTGCTTCATATATTTAATTTTTTTATCTTTAGGGTTCTCTTGGTCTAATGAATAAAACTAAATTCGTGGTCAGCCCCTTGAAGACTAAGGTAAGCAGTGTCTCACAACAATGAATGGAGTGACATGACCTACCTTAGTGCATATTATCTTGTTTTTGAAGGAAGTAGTAAAACGTGGAGCACTATGTGATGATTTGGGGTGTGCACCTCTTCCATTGGTAAGTTATACTTCATTGCAGATATTTCCAGTACATATTAATTTTTGTTCTAAATTATCACTGTATTAATTGTCTGCTCTAGGATGAAACTGACACCTGTTTGCGAAAAGATTATGTCAGCAATATAAGAATTCTGAAACGAAGGAAGCCACTACCTAATGTAATTTCTGTATTATGGATAGCAAGTTAGTAGTCTTTTTAAAATTATGTTGGATGATATTTGTCTTTCTTTTTTGTAGACATCCTCAAGTCAATCATCAAATGATTATTTTATCCAATCTCAAACATTTAGGGATATAATAGATGATGGTTCACCATGTAAAAAAAAAAGCAAAAGTTAGCCCAATGATGATTAAAAGACAACGGAAACAAGTCCCAAAGGTCGGTACATCCTTATCATAATTTCAAAGTCTGTCAGTTAATAAACTACTTCACTCTGTAATCTACCTACTCTTGTTTTTATTTTCAGTCTTCCTCAAGCCAATCATCAAACGAATATCACATCCTATCATCAAAAAATAGATTAGATTGTTCACCAAGTAAAAGGATGCTTACGCCCCTGAAAATAACGTGGCAGAAAAGGACATTACCAAAGGTAAAATATGTGACAGTTTACAAAATTGCTGCACCATTTAACCTGCTACTCACCATTCACCTGAACTTGCTTTTCCTATCTGTAGACTTCCTCGAGTCAGTCTTCTAATGACTACCAGATTCAATCTCAAGTCAATGCGATAATGAGGCCAGATGGTGTATCAAGAAAATGTACTGTTAGTCCATTGAAAATTAAATGGCAACAGAGATTGATCCCAACGGTAGGACTGAATGAAGTTTCAGTGTCGAATTCTTTTTCTATTACTGTACCAATACAAATATTTAAATCTGCTGGTTTATTGTTCCAGACTTTGCCTGTACGTCAAACCACAAGTTGTCCTGATCCCCAGACACAGTCACCAACAAGCCAGAGCTCAATGCGGGCAGTTGTAAGATAGCCACCAATGCATTTATTTACCTTCACTCTGAAATTAAGCAACATTAAAATTTCATAGTGAACCTTTTTTTTTTCAACAGGGAGAATCATATTTTCAACATGTGATGTGAATTTGAAACCATTGCCGTTCAAAATATTTACATCCGATGCAGTTGACAACAATGTTTTGTATGACTTGGGCACAGAGGGAAAAGCAAATGATAGTTTTCCCAGCAATTCATCTAGTTTTGTCATAGACAAGACACCACCACTACTGCCAAATTCTCGTAATGATTGAACAAGATATTCACATCACATGGCTTGCCTCTCTCAAAAACTGGAGGATCTAAATTAAAATTTTGGCCAATTTTGGGAAAATTAAAAGAAAGTGAAAATGAGCCATTTATAATTGCTTTGTATTGTGGTGAGTCTGATCCACGAGACATTGATATGTTTTTAGGTGATTTGACCATTGAATTAAATGACTTGCACACCAATGGTTACAATCATAATGGAGAAATCTATCCGTTTGAAGTGGAAAATTTTATTCTTGATGCCCCTGCAAGATCTTTAGTGAAGTGTTGTGTGAGCCATGGTGGGTATGGTGCATGTGAAAAGTGTACTGTAAGGGGGGTTTATGCTGAAGATAGAATGAATTATGCCCTTGTTGGTCCTGAGGTCCAACCCCGGACTGACCAGTCCTTTGCCAATCAAGAAGACAGAGTCCACCACTGTGGTCACTCTCCTCTCCAAATGGTAAATGGAATCGGGTTAGTCTCAAGTTTTAGACTGGACACTATGCATCTCCTGTACAAAGGTGCATTTTCAAGACTTCTTGATGTTTTGTTCACATGGGAAGGGCCTTGGAATTTTACTGCTGAGAACATTCTTGCTGTCACTGAGAAACTGCTGGGATTTGTGGTGTCATGTCCAGGAGACTTTAACAGAAAACCGAGAAAAATAGAAGAGTATTACAAATACAAGGCCACAGAGTTAAGAAGATTTCTCTTGTATGATGGTGTTGTGGCATTCAAGAACCAAATGCAAGACAACATCTACAACTTATTCTGCCTTCTTCACTGTGCCATTTACATTCTTGCCAGTCAACATTTATTGCCAAATTTTATTGATCAAGCTGAATTGTTTTTAAAACATTTTGTACAATATTCTGCTCAGGTGTTTGGCAATCATTTTGTCGTGTACAATGTGCATTCCCTAACTCACTTGGTCGATGAATGTCGTATGCATGGTGTGGTTGAAAATTTTTCTGCTTTTTGTTACGAGAATCACTTAAAAACTATCAAGGAAACTTTAAGGTCAGGATATCTGCCATTAGAGCAAATAGTGAAGAGAGATTCTGAGAGGGGTAATAATAGACAAGTAAAATTGAAATCAAATGACAACTCTGTACAACTGTTCAAGCAGCACATTGATCCCTTGGAACAAGAAAATGGTCATCAATATCAGAAAATTCTTGTGAACAGTGTTGTTTTCAAGCTGGGAGAGAAAAATGGTTGTTTTATCACTACTGATCGGAGAGTTGCCATCCTCAAAAATATTATTTGTAGAAATGAAAACAGTGTACTTTTTATTGGCAACTGTTTTGCCAACACTGAAGACTTGTACAATTATCCTTTAAACTCATCTCAGCTTGGAATTTTCAAAGTTGGGGGTCTGAGCTTAGTAAGGGAGGCTTTTCCACTTGAAAATATACTTGGAAAATGCTGGTTGTTAAAAGATGGTGATAGTCTTGTGTCCATTCCCCTTGTTCACTCCACTCCCCTCCTTCATTAATTGTAAGATGACTTTTTTATTTTTTATTACTTAGTTAAATAAGTGTAAAGCTCTAAATTTGGCATTTTATTTTTCAGTTTGTGCTTCTAAAGTTTGAAGAAGATGAAAGTCTGGAGGTAGCTAAAAGAAATTGGCTTCGTTTAAATGAAGAGAGCATGCAATTTGAGTGTAAATGGCCAAAAGATCTCCTGACTGAAAAACAGCTTGTGTCTCTAATAACAAAACCAGATGGTCCCACAGATGGGTGGGAATTTCACCCTTGTGAAATTATTAATTCTTATGGTAAGAAATTGGAATGCAAATTATACAGCAACTATTTTGTTGCTGTACTTACTTTTCTTACTTTTTTTGCAGACAATTATCTAGATGCCCACTTAGGACGGAAATGTAGACTTACCAATCCTACTTATGAAACAGAAAAGGAACTTGGAACTGGGCGTAGAAAGAAGAAGAAGAATACAAAATTCCATGATAAGAGTGATGAGGAGGAACCTAAGAAAAAGAAGGTGAAAACCAGTGTGCCTGAGCAGCGTATTCCCTCTCCACCTGCAATAGTTCTGGCAACCAAACAAGATTGTCAAGTGTCCAGTGCTAAAGCCCCTGTTCTGGTCTCACAAAGCACCGTCAACATCCGCCTAACAGAAAACAAGAAAACTTTCAACGTGTGCAGAAAAAATAGAGGTTCAAAAGCCGAAAATCTCGATGATCTGAAGAAAATTATGGATGAAAAATTAAAATCTGGAAAGACTGTATCTGCCAAGAAAATGAGCACTACACTATCTGTAAAGGATGTGCCCCATTCTAGTAAAGACAAAAGGAAGTCTGATAGTGAAGAAGATGGAGATGAATTTTCTGATAGTGATGAAGATAAATCTTCTGATACTAGAGATAGATGAAGATAAATCTTCGGATACTAATAGAGATAAAGATAAATCTTCTGATAGTGATAGTAGTTTGGATGGCCCAAACTTAAGGAAACAGGATGGTAAAAAATCAAATATTTTTGACACTGATACTTGTTCTGAAGATTCAGCTGAGAAAACTCCTCAGTCAGCCTCAAAGGAAGACGACCAGGTCAGATCACTGTCACCACCTACTGATGCCGTGGGAGACAACCTCAGCTCCTTTGGGAGCTCACCACCTGCTGCTACCAGTCAAAACGGTATTGCTGAGAACATTACTGATGCTATCCATCTAGCTAGAAGGACACCACCTGCTGCTACCAGTCTAAACTGTGTTTCAGATGAAAGTAAGTCCTCATGTCTATCATGCATGTATATTAATATTTTTATTATCTGTATTACTACTTCTATTGGTGTAATGGGTCTACTTTGTATTTTAGCTTTCAAGATCACAGTATTAAGACTGTTGTCTGAGGTAAATCAGAAAACTGAAACCTGCTTGGCTACTACTACAAGATTAGCTTTGCACACATTGCCCAATGAAAAGGCTATTACCAGGCCAACAGGTTTACCCCTTTTTCCTCTTAAAACTCAAAGCGAAATCGAAACAACTGAAAAAATTCTAGAGAAATCTGACGACAATATTGCAAACTTGGTAAGATCAACCTTCTTATATTCTGAATGTTTAGTTTGGTTTAATAATGCTATATTTTCTTTTCATCTCCTTGTATTTTTGTTTTGTTTAGTCAATCTACCTTAGCAGCTTTGTATTCAAAGATCCTGAAAAAGAAAGAAAATCAGCTACCAATGTTATGGAGGAGTTGATGTGGAATTGCTGCGCTAAATTCTATAGCATGAATGGCAAGAAAGGAAAAAAGAGCTTCTCCAGTCTCCATATGTGGAAAGCTGTGAAAGGTATTTTGTTTTCTAATCAAATTTTGATATCTATTCTACTCCTTTAAATTTGTAACAATTATCTTCTCTGTTTCTCCTTTCTTGTCTTAAATAGGTGCTATTTCCTGGAAAGTAGATGGCTCTGATCTATCTGAAACAAAGGCTGCAGTTCAATCGTGGCTGAAATACGCAGGCTATATAAGTCAAGAAGATGGGTCGCCGAAGCTACAAGACAAAAACAAAACTCAAGAAGATGGCTCGGAGAAGAAACGAGCCAAAAAAAAACCTGCTGAGTCACGTAAAAACAAATCAAAAAGAAGACTAGTTGATTAGTTACTACTTTGTTCTCACTTCTGTGGCTACATGTGTTAGGGTTTTATTTTTCCCTTATTGCAGCAGAAATGTTCCTTTATTTAACATCCAGACAGATGTTTTTGTTGTTCTTTGTTTTCTTAATCT